TGGACAGTATTACTACTAATCATACTAGGGTGATAGGGAGACAAAGCGAAATACAGGGGAGTTTTAAAGGTGCGAAAGCTTTAATCCTAAAGAACAAACCGGAAAATTAGCAATTTTAAATTTATGTAAATACACAAAAATAAGTTTAGAAGTCAATTTGATGAATACGAATTTATTTTCATTTCTCTGTGTTTATCTTGTTGAGTTTATATTGAGGTCCAATGAATCTCTGCGGATAGATAAGGGAGGAGCCAGATCCTCAGATAACGACCAATCAGAGATCAGATCTACAGATAACAACCAATCAGAGATCAGATCTACAGATAACAACCAATCAGAGATCAGATTCACTGATAACTACCAATTAGAAATCAAATGAAAAAGAAGTTATACCAATTAAATGATAAATCAATAGAAAATAACCATCCCGGCCTATCTAACACATTGAAAATAATGTGAAACATTATACATACCGGGCTATAGACATATTTAAGAGTTAAACTGTTGCTCAATGCTCTGAAATTCGCGATTTTCAATCATTTTTAAATTTTTGCGGATTTTTCTGTTTAAATTGGCGCATTTTCAAAAATAACAAAATTTACCTGCACAACAATTTTTAGAAATCTTCCGGGAGTTGCAACTATAAATTTGGGTTCGATCGCGCGCGCATGGGGTCCAGCCGTTTTTACGTTTTTAGGACGCAAATGCAACTTAAAACAACTTAAAAAAATATATGAAAGATCCAATAGGAATTTAACTTTTAAATTATTTTCATCATTTATATTTGTCTAAAGCAAAATTACATTAAACAATGTAAAATTTTACAATTTAACAATAATACTCTTTTCTCTGGATATCGCATTTTTTGATTGACAGGGTTTGCCAAAAACCAGGTGCAATACAAGACTTTTAGCATAAGTATAGTTTAGCTATTCAGAGGTGGTTTTCAGAAATGGAGTTTCTTGGTCCCAGTCTAGCGTTTTTAATTTGATTTGCTTTATTTGATGGTGAGATATATCCTCTTGAGCCGATTTCAAAAGGATGAACAAACACATCCTTAGTTGTTATATCTGTAATAAAATGTTCATACTTGTTCAACTTTTCAGTGTTGGCATTTTTATATGTGTTTCCAATGGAACAGTAAGCTCAAAAATATCAAAAATAGCTTATGAATTCTTAGCGTGGTTTGCATTATAAAATTGCAATACAGATCCAGTTTTTAAAATTTTCTATTTGATTAAAAAAGGCAAAAGTATTCCTGTTTGAAAAGTGGTCTGGTCGAACTATCTATCTCTCTTATTTTGAATATATTTAACTGTGTTTGAAAATGTATAATATATTTTCTATTAGGTTTCTGGCTGCCAGACTACCAGAGGATGATCTGACTGATTTCATCAAAAAGATGCATATCCAAACCATCTTAACCATTCACAACCATTCCCAAACCATTCCTTAACTTACCCCCTCCCCTCACCTCCCCCACTCCCCGATATCCTGCAGTTTTACTTCACAGCTTCTACATCCATTTATCTAATACTAGACTAGGGTTGGTTGGTCGATATTTTAAATATTGAAACTAGGGTTGATCGATATTTTAAATATCAAAACTAGGGTTGGTCTATATTTTAAATATTGAAACTAGGGTTGGTCGATATTTTAAATATTGAAACTAGGGCTGGTCTATATTTTAATTATTAAAACTAGGGTTGGTTGGTCGATATTGCAAATATTGAAACTAGGGTTGCTCGATATTTTAAATATTGAAACTAGGGTTGGTTGATATTTAAAATATTGAAACTAGGGTTGGTTGGTCTATTTTTCAAATATTAAAACTAGGGTTGCTAGATATTTCAAATATTGAAACTAGGGATGGTCGTTATTTTAAATATTGAATCTAGAGTTAGTCAATACTCTAAGTATATTCCATTACATATATATTCCAAGTATATTCCTGTACATATATATACTCTAAGTATATTCCAGTACATACATATTCCAAGTATATTCCTGTACATATATATACCTGTATATATATATATACTCTTATTATTTTCCAGTACATATATATTCCAAGTATATTCCTGTTTATATATATATACTCTAAGTATATTTCGGTACATATATATTCCAAGTATATTCCTGTACATATATATTTCAAGTATATTCCAGTATATATATACTCTAAGTATATCCCATTACATATATATTCCAAATATATTCCTGTATATATATACTCTAAGTATATTCCAGTACATATATATTCCAAGTATATTCCTGTATATATATATACTCTAAGTATATTCCAGTAAATATATATTCCAAGTATATTCCTGTACATATATATACTCTAAGTATATTCCAGTACAATATATATTCCAAATGTATTCCTGTATATTCCTGTATATATATATATACTCTTATTATTTTCCAGTACATATATATTCCAAGTATATTCCTGTTTATATATATATACTCTAAGTATAATTCGGTATATATATATTCAAAGTATATTCCTGTACATATATATTCCAAGTATATTCCAGTATATATATACTCTAAGTATATCCCATTACATATATATTCCAAGTATATTCCTGTATATATATGCTCTAAGTATATTCCAGTACATATATATTCCAAGTATATTCCTGTACATATATATACTCTAAGTATATTCCAGTACATATATATTCCAAGTATATTCCTGTATATATATATATACATATATATACTCTAAGTATTTTCCAGTACATATATATTCCAAATGTATTCCTGTATATTCCAGTGGACAGTATTACTACTAATCATACTAGGGTGATAGGGAGACAAAGCGAAATACAGGGGAGTTTTAAAGGTGCGAAAGCTTTAATCCTAAAGAACAAACCGGAAAATTAGCAATTTTAAATTTATGTAAATACACAAAAATAAGTTTAGAAGTCAATTTGATGAATACGAATTTATTTTCATTTCTCTGTGTTTATCTTGTTGAGTTTATATTGAGGTCCAATGAATCTCTGCGGATAGATAAGGGAGGAGCCAGATCCTCANTACCCCCCCCCCTCAAACCCGTTCCCTTAACACTCTATATCAATATTAAAACGCGTAAGAACTTAAGTTTTATATTTTATTAGTTACAAAATAAATAAGGTAGATATATTGTAATAATTACTAGTATTAATAATATTTAAACTAAACTTGGTTAAACACTTTAAACATCATTGGATTAAATATTCTGAATAAGCTGGAAACTTTTAGATAGAAATAACATTTGAATCGATTTAGATTAGATCCATTCATTCAAAAGTTTCCAACTCTGAATATTCACTATTCAGGGTTTATTATTGCAATATATTGCAAACAATCTGTAGGGTTCAGGCATAGTTAAACAATTTGCAAAAAAGTGTCAAATTGGTTTGAAAGGATAGAGTCAAAGACAGCGTTAATTTTTTTTTTCAAAATTGCATTGCAAAAGGAATATTAGACTATACATAGAGACTTATAACGGTCACTTGAAACAAATACAGTGGTCCATAAAATATAATGGAAAGCAACTAACGACTCTTAACCCAAAAGAAGTTTCAAGAGCAATTGTCGTCATTTTATTCCACTATATTTTGACGACCACAGTCGCTAAACAAGTTTGTTGCAAATTTTGCATACTAAAATATATAGTGATCCCGTAAAACTGTGAAATAGGAAGACGACTAAAACAAGTTCATGAAACACAGCACTTTTGCAGTGGTACAAATTGACTCACTACTGGAAATACGATTGATTAAATGTCGTCTTCCTCTTGCACAGTTTTATGGGTCTCACTGTACTTTCACAGGGGATAATTGACTACAGCATTGATAAATCACAAGGTATGAAAACTAAGAGCACATTGATAATTCCTTCATTTACAAATCTCATTTGGAATTTGAGAATTTTGATTTTTCCGATTTGATTATGTAAACAAAGATGGCAGTCATATATACCCTTACAATGAAAGCCAGTTGGCTATTTTTAAAGCTAACTTATTTAAAAGTGTTTGCCGTTTTGAGAACTTTGTAATTTTAACTATAATGTCGAGTGTCATTAATGACGTAGTGTTGCCTTGTTAGACGCAAAGAAATTGCAGAATGATTTTATAAAAAATATTAATTAAAATGATCATCAATATGTATTCTTTTAATTTCTGGAAGGGGAAATATTTTCTTGGTTGTCCTATCATTGATCGACGGGTTTGTACCTCGATGTTGATTGCATTTATCGGCACGGTGTAATTTCTATCATTGCACTGAGTACTAAAATTACAGCAACGATAATATTGATCGCAGCTATGATCATTGTTCATTTGGGGTTACCAATCCACATTATATTGATCAATAGTGGTAGCTCATTGATTACTAATATATAGCTCCGATCATTGTAAACTGATCAACAAAGTAATTGTTTCTATCATTATATTTATCAACAAAGAGTAGCAACAGCAACGATCAGTGATAAACAGTGAGCATCACCGATCATCAATCAACAGGGAGTAATAACGATCATGAATCAACAGGGAGTAATAACGATCATGGATCAGCAGGGAGTAATAACGATCATGAATCAACAGGGAGTATCTACGATCATGGATCAGCAGGGTGTAGCTCCGATCATTGAGGATTCTATACTAGACTGTACTCCAGTATTCCCTGCAATATTTTCAATCAATTAATCAAGTCTTGATAAAGGTTTCTGGTTGAAATAAACGTATACGAAGGCGTAACCCCCCCCCCCCTCCCCTCCCGGAAAGTTTAAGAAAGGTTATCCCCCGCCCAACAAATGCCTGTATATGACTCTGAGGAACTGTTCTACGGTAAACAGCCGACCGAGTGCAGATTTGTTCATTTAGAGAAAGTTCTTATTGACCAATTTGATCGGAATAACATCCCTCAAAAATTCTTTATGCTGTTTGTCAGGCCTAATAGGCATTTTTAAATTACTAAAATGAGTTTACTCACCTAATGAGAACGGAGAATGTGAGTGCGTGAGTGAGTGTGAGGCAAGATTCAAACCTCCATTACTCTGCATCCCACTCATTCCGCTCATCCCACTCATACCGGTCATACCACTCATCCCACTCATTCCCATCCCGGTCATACCACCCATATACATAGTGCTAGGGCTCATGAACTGGCTCGCCATGCCAGACATGGGAGCCATCTGATGATAGTATCCGGACATCGGAGAACTAAAGTATCCCATTCCCATCCCCCATCTTCCATCTAAACCTGGAAATGGAAAGTTTATTAAAGTGAGTGTTCGCGAAAAAATAAAAGCGGTATATAGGCTGTAGGCTCACCCCGGACTAATCAGAGTGAGCAGCATTCGGTTTCTTCTATTTGAAATCAAACGTGTTTTTTGTCTACAATCTTTAAACTTACGAATTTGTTTGTTTTTTACTTTATCCTTCAAAATGCATATGCCGACAAAAAAAGTATTTAATAAAAAATGCTTAAAAGTATGTGTAATGGGTTAAAATGTGATCGAAAACCACAGATTTCTGGAATATTGACAGAACCGTTAAATCCACGTGGGCTGAATTCGGTGAATTCGGGTTTGATCGCTGTTAATTTTACTTCTATCTGTTGCGTATATAGGGAGCAAAATGATTAAAAACGTCTTAAACCCTGCAGAGAGTAGAACCATATTCCATTATTCCATCCCAACCGTAAATAAATCAATGAAAAATTTAAAACTTATCATTAAAATATCACAAGTTATAAATGTCGAATTCAATTAGGGGCATTCATATAATTTTACATATCTTAATCTTTTTTTCTATTTTTTTAAATGATGTGCTTTGGATGTAGATCAAGTATTAGGGGTGTGCAGTGTTAAAATGACATACTTTAAACTGTTTTACTGTACAGCAAGGCAAAGACAAACCGGAAATAGGCCTAATACAGTTTTTACAGTAAAAATTCAGAAAAGTTGGACAGTGTCCGAATTTAATGAATTTGGGCCGCCAAAAACCGGTTTCAATTGAGCGCCGGATTAAATATAGAAGCACTGAATACAATTTTAAGTGAAACCAACCATATTTGAGCTGCGGCTTAAATTTAAGCCTCTCAAATTCTTTAAATTCGGCCTCTGGTTCATATAAAAATTGGATTAATATAATCATTTATAGTTTTTTCTTAAAGTTATTTTAATGGGAAAAGGTTCTCAGCATACTTTGCACTTTCCTTAACCTTTAATGCTTTAGATCTATAAAAATAAAACAAAATCGTGTTTCTTCATAAATTGATTGATTGATTACTAATTACCTGTTCTAAAGAAATCTGCCATACCGGCGCGCTTCTTCTTCGATTTCGCGGACAGTTTCCTGTTTCTTGTCTGTATACCGTCCTTCTTCATTGTCAAGGGTCTCTCGACCTACATTTTGTAAGAATTAAACTTGTTTTATTAAAACATTTCACTTTTTTCCTCCTAACATTATAGTTTCAGCAGAAATAAATATTTCCATTTACTGATAGCGCCGATTGAAGGATTCATATTTCTAATTTGATAATGAGATATATAGAAAGATAGATCCTACCGCCATACTATTTCTATCGGTTCAGAATAGACAATAAACACATGACTGAACCCTGATTGAATCAGGTGCTAATGGAATCGGCATACAAGTGTGCTAAAGGGATTGCATACGTAATTGCAAAGATGGCAATGTCCAGTTTACAGCACTACCCTTGAATCCTTTATCTGATTAATGACATGGAAGTTAATATAATTTTTCTAGGTTTAAAAGTTTTTATTTCTGATAATTTCCGTATGTTTTCCTGCAGTGAAAATGCACAAGTCACTTATGTAAACAATTAGTTTTTAAAATTATAAACATTGATAGTTGATCAGATCAAGCTTTTAAGGTTTAAGGTAATCGGGCATTGAGGTTACTTAAAATTACACTTACAGTCTCTTTAAACCAATACAAAAAATATACATAATTAATGAAAAAGATTGGATCTTAAGAAACAACATTTAAAAAATTTAAAAAGCTCAAAAAGAGACTTTCTCACATCTAATATTGAAAGTCTTCCTTTTTAACTTTCCCCTTTTTTCTAAC